CCCTGTTTCAAATGAAATGATGAAAATACATATCTTAATAGAACGTTGCATTTCTTTCACTCCTCCAATAGCCTTGTTCACAAGACAAATCTTCCATTGCCTATATTTTCATGGGAAGAATTTCCTTACTTCACAGCCAAATTCATAACAACATTACAGTTTGCATTACTTGTCTCCTAACTATAATCACTGAAAGTGTAGCAAAACTTGTTTCTGAGTGACTGAGAGAATTGCTGACTACTGTTATTAGTAAACTAGTAATTCCCCACATTAGTGCGAGATGTGGTAGCCTAATGGTTAGCATGTTAGACTCAAGTGGTTAGAGTGGTGAGGAGGTGCTAGAGGTGGATTGGCCACGTTACCCGCCAAGAAACTTCCATCACCAAAACCGCTCTGCATTGGACACCAGAGGGAAAGCGAAAGAGGCGCCGTCCGAAGATCACGTGACGGCGGACGGCAGAGAAGGAAATGAAGCAGATGGGGAAGACCTGGAGCAGCATTCTAGTCATGGCAAAGGACTGGCAGATGTGGAAGGATCACTGACATTGCTGCCCTACACGCCACCCGGCATAATGGGTATGAGTGAGTGAGTGGTTAGAGCAGTCTGGGTTCAAGCCCTGGTCAGGTTGTTGTGTTGTGCTCTTGATCTGAATGCACTCGCAGTGACTGTCATGAATTCTCACATACATGTATTCTCATTGAATTTGAAGCTGCCTCAAATTTTTCTTGAGAGTCATTATGAGTTTTCTCTCATTTGGCCCGCGCTTGATGGTAGTCGCTGAGAGTTGAAGAAAACTCTCATAAGAGCATCGTCAACTCTCATCCTCATTTTGCCTGAGCTTTAGTAATAGCATATTATTGCAGCACTACAATAACTGTAAGTATAATAGTTCATTCACCCAATATGTGTTCACGTTCTTACCCCCTCAGACTGGACTTTCCAACTCAGTGCTTTGATCTTCTCTCCAATTGTAGAATCTTTAGTAGCTATAATTATTAGGTCCAAAACACCTGGAGAAATACACAATAATTCCATTTTTAGACTAAATTCATCCAAGGATGATTTTACAGTAAAGTAGACCTTATTCATATTTACGTCAGACTAGCTTAATTCCACCACCTACCCACCCACCTCGCAAGACTCACTTTCAAAGTCAAAACTAGTACATTTTATAGTGAACGAATTCCCAATGCAGCAAAGATCAAAACACAATGTGAAATGCCAGAGGTTTGAGAAGAATTCTGTGAGTCGAAAACGAGGCTTACAATGAATTTTGAGTAACTGAATGTAATCATGCAATATAAGGCCTATTATGTCGAAGTTTCATGAAAATGGTCAAATAAAAAATAAAATTATTTAAACAACCAAAATTATTTAAACATAGTGGTCTAGTCACTATAAAAAAAGGTTACAGTCTGTCTATTAAGTGGTTTATCAGGCCAGTGCTTAATTCCGGTTTCCATAGCATGAAGCGGCTACAGGCATCACTACTCCCCTGAATGGGATGCTAGTCCATCGTGCGCAGGTACCCCCCAACATTTATGTCAGGTGGAATATGCCAGTACCCAGTACCCCCCAAGAGTAAAGAACACAACACAGTGACCCCAGCCAAAGCTCGAACCAGACCCCTCGATCCAGAGTCCAAGGCATTAGGCCACTGTGTCTCCTACACTAAGTCGCTATGAGGAAAAGAAAGAAATAAAAATAAAATAAATGGGAATTTCAGTGGAAATCCACAGAGTGGCTCTTCTCTTCCACTGTTTCCAGATCGAATTGGAATTTAGAAATGGTTGGTTTCTGTGGGAGGAGGAAAACCAGAATACCCGGCAAAAAACCCTCGGAGCAAGAATGAGAACCAACAACAAACTCAACCCACATAAGATGCCGGGTCCGAGATTCGAACCCGGGCGGCATTTGTGGGAAGCGAGTGCTCTCATCACTGCACCATCCCTACTTCCCCGAAATCCTAGAGAAATGGTAAAAGACTATTTACCAGGGTCTTTTCCAATGAAGTCAAAGAAGACTGGTACAATGCACAGTAACTGAACCACTTCTGATGCCAACAAACATCTGTAACCAGCTTTCCTGAATATATTGCAAACAAATAAATAAATTTTACAATGAAAATCAGCAATAAGAAATAACATTTCTATATATATCTTGACATCATTTCAAGTTTGAAGAACGGTTGTGTTGTGTAAATATATATATCAAGGCAAGGTGTGAATAGTGATGTGCGATAAGCTGCAGCATTCATAGTTTGGAATTTGAAATAAACTACAGGTGTTGATTATAAACATAATTCAAGGAACTGTCAAACAAAGACTTTTGCGGGAATAGAATCTTAGCTTGTTGGGTGTTCAGTTCAGTTTCTTTTTATGTATAAACAACATCTCGTAGATCAGGCAATCCAGTTTTTCTTCACACCTCTTTAAGATTGAAAACTTGGCTCTCGAGCAAGCGAAGCACACAAATATTTTTACTTGGGCTATCAAAGATCAAGATGAAGACCACAACAAGCAGCCATCCTTCGTGCAGTCAACAGTTTACAATAATTTATTTCAAAACAAACAAAACAAGGGAATTTCACTTGAAAAAATAAGAATTAAAGTTAGCTTATGACGTTTCAATGTTTTGAACATCATTATCAAGTCAAGTGTCGCTCAGTTTGGAAAATTACAATAAGCATTCCTGTAAGGTATTTAGTTATTAAGAGTTAAGCATGAATCGCATCAGATTGTACCCAGATTGTACATTTCAAAAGCATTTCAGTCAAATTTATTTCGGCACTTTCAAAGTACCGAATAGTTTTGAGATAAATCCAGCTTTTTTAATCCGTGCTGATGGTGCGTGTGCTTCTCGATTGACAAATTAAGGCTGCTGTGTTTGGCAATGCATCGGTGAAGGAAGCGAATGCCTGGTTAACAAAAAGGAATTTCCAACAAACCTGGAATCCAACCTTTTCCTTGTTGCTTGGTATCTATAAACGAAAGTACACAAACAATGTTTAAGTAAACAACATAATTAACACGATTCACCAACAAATACATAACTGTAAGTTAAATCCCAGACAGAGTTCTTACTTGGATACGCTGTCACCATTTGCAAGTCTCACCAGATCAGCCACAAGATCATAAAGACACAGGTATAATCTGTTGTACAAACCACCATCCTAGCAACACAGATGAAACAGTTTTACACAGTCATCTACATTACAGTGTGGGTGAAGCAGTACTGGCCTAATGGTTAGCTTATTGAACGCCAGATCGAGTCAGCTGCAGGCTTTTAGCCAGAATTTGAAAAGAGGGCATGTCATCCTGAAGGCATGTCTTCCAAAAATTTGAATTTATTGTTACAAGCTTTAGTGCATTTTTCATCATTAAATGATGTCCTGTGGATGCCCAATCCTGAGAGAAAATTTTTCTCTCAGGATTGGGTGTCCACAGGACATAGGACATCCAGATGTCCTTTTGGCTAAAAGCTTGGCGGTCCAGGTTCTGCAAGCACTAGCTGGGGTCATTGTGTTGTGTTCCTGGGAAAATGCTGGGGGGTGACCGGTGATGGACTAGCATCCCATCCAGGGGGAATAGCAATACTCTTAGTCACTTCATGCTACAGAATCTGGGATAAAATCTGTTACATTACTACTCACGCAGACTTAACTACTCACAATATGCTGATCACGCTCTATCTTCACTGCACCAAGGAGCAAAGAAATCACTCTACATCTGACATCCCGAGGTAACATGAAGAGATCCATGGTATCAACATTTCTGAAAACACAATGATTACAGTCAAAGCTCTCTGAGCGGATGCTCTCATAAGCAGACAGCTCTACTTACAGCTGCCTTGACAAAAACCCATTTAAACACTCAACTCTCATACAAACTCTGTACAGTAAAAACCCGCAAGTAAGAACCTAGTTTTTAAGAACCTGTTAAGTTAAAATTTGCCAGTTAGACCCCCTCTATACAAGAACCTGTAATTAGCCTAAAATTTGAAACAGGTTCTTATTTTCTAAATTCTATATAGGAAAATGTGTGCACTTGGGCAAATAAGATAGGTCAACATTTTGGATCTCTATTTTAAGTTCTAAAGGAGCACTTCAAAATGTGCGTGATCAGTGCGTCAATTTTCTTATTATAGTCATTTTTACATAAATACTTACTTGGTATGCAGATTTTATATAAGGAATAGGCTGAATACCACTAAATTCTATTAGCTACAATGTAATTTTTTTCTTCAGAAAATAAGAACCTATTACAGAATACTTACAGAACACCAAACTCTAAAATAGATCATTAAATTGCTTGTACATTCTAACACTTACCTTATTTTTCGAAGTCTTGCAATATCAAGGGTTTGTTGGATCAGCATTGAAGGAATAGCAAATTCCAAAGACGCCTAAATCAAGTATTGAATTATTGATGAGACTTTATTCAAAAATCATTTTATATCAAGTAACGCTACCTGGAAAAAAATGATGTCTCTCTTCACATCCTTACTTCATCGCCATGATAGAGACGTCTCAGATTCGAGCTAAATAATTCCATAGTGATGACATAGCTCAACAGCGAACTGTGTATATAGTGTCTTTAATTGGCTGTAACACAGTTATGAGTTCCCGCGCACAGGCAACAGCCAAACAGAGACGCTACGGAATTTTTCAGGTTAAGTCTCAGCAGGAGCCCATTACCCATAATGGGCTCCTGGTCTCAGACATCTGTCTAGCGGGGATGAAATGAATTTCCGCATGTGGGTAGCAGCCAATCAGAGACACTAGTACAGATCTCTGTAGAGCTAGATCATCAGTATAAAAATGTTCACGTTAAATTTTAGACAGCTGTATAGCGGGGAATGAAATGAATTTCCATATGTGGGTAACATCCAATCAGAGACTCTGTAGAGTTACAGTATCTCATCAGTACGAATTTCAGACGAGGGGATGAATTAAGCACAGGAAGAGTCAAGCTAAAGTAAAACAATTAGCTCCCACAAAGCTCCAGTAGCTCAGTGGTAGAGCGTCCGGCCTTTGTGCGGAAGATCATATAGGTTCAACTCCTGTTGGGAGAACTCGGAATTTTTTCCAAATAGCTTGTGTCACTGCCTGATAAACATCTTTCTCATAAAACATTATTTTCTGTTCAGCTAACTCACCACTAACATTAACAACAGCATGTTACACCTTTCCTTGTCTTCATTTCTGTAGTTTATCAGGTTTTCTATCAGCAGTGATGGCTTTACCTTTCCTCTGAAATTAAAGCATACATTTTATCATTTGACCAACAAGCTTTTAGCCAGAAGGGTGTCCAGGTGTCCTGTGGACGCCCAATCCTGGGAGAAAATGATGAAAAATGCACCCAAGCTTTAACAAATTTATGGGGGGACATACCCCCAGGATGCCCACTTTTCAAATTCTGGCTAAAAGCTTGGTGACCAATACATCCCCACACAGAAAAAAAAAAACACATCCACACAATGTGGATATAAAAAGGTAAAGGTAAACTAAAAGCCACACTCGGACCAAACTGGCCCACCCTGCGGGGCTTACACCGTTTTCTGTAACATGAAACCAATTAGGACTGTTGCTACTCTCCCTGGATGGGGATAATATTGACTGCATTGGTTGAGCTGGATAGGAAATCTAAGTTGGCTCTTGGTGACACACTACATGTAAATGCTTAAGCCACTGCATCGACCCATACTGATGGTTATTGTGTTGGACTCTGGATTGAGGGGTCCAGGTTTAATTTGAGCCCTGACCAGGGCTCTATGTGTTGTGTTCTTGGGAAAGACACTTTACTCTCACAAGGCCTAATTCCATCCAGTGTATAAATGGGTATCAGTGAATTGTTACTTGCAACCTGACAAAATGCTAGCGGGGGGAGTAACAATACTCCTAGCCACTTCATGCTAGGGAAACTGATGACCCATCTACCTCCTTCCATCCCTAGAATTAGAATGGCCTTTACCTTAAGGCCCGGTCAAACGGTCACAACATTTGTTGTGAGCCAATGTTGTGACCGTTTGACCACCCCTGACAACAATGTTGTGAGATGTTGTGAAGAGTTTGAATTCATTTAAACTTTGTCTCAACATTGTCACAACATTTCTTTGTTCTTGAAATGTTGTGAGGTTGTTGTGGCCGTTTGACCGGGCATGGTCACAACATGTCACAACATGTCACAACAAATGTTGTGAGAATGTTGTGACAAATGTTGTTGACCGTTTGACCGGGCCTTTAGTTTCTAGATTTCACTTATCACGATACTTACTTCATGGTATTTTTTGTGTAAAGGTTGACTTCCTGCTGTAGACAGTAGGCAAGGTACAAGAGTCGTCGCTTGTCCAGATCTTGTTTAAGGACAGGCAAAATACAGAACAATCAATTAATGGATTTTTCTCTCTTTAATACTGCGCTATTCAGTAACGTAACACACAAACTCTTAAGTTTAAAACCCAACTAACGATTGTGTTTAGCACTGCCATCATAGTTAATAGAGGGAAATGGTTATGAAGCCTGGAAAAGTTCTTTGTTATATGTTTTTGTTTGCTATTTTGGGGGTTGACCGTGCACAAAACCTGACAAAATACAATAGGTGGTTATGTGTGTTCAAGCAACTAACCAACAGAAATGCTTAGTGTATGAGGCAAAACAAAAGATGTGCACAGTCATGGACTTTTCAACATAAATCTTGGCCTCTTTGTTTGCTCCTTTGAAGTTTGCCAGGCTTCATAACCATTTCCCTCTATTAACTATGCTGCCATCAAACATAATTTATTGTGACTACAACCAACGGACCATTAAAAAAAGAAACAAACAAAATGGATCGAAATCTACCAATCATGACTAACAGATGTGACCTTTTGAACCCATTGAAGTGAACTTCTGTTTCCTGAGACATCTGCTAAGATTATTGACCTGAGCAGCGAAAAACGCAACTGTTGACTGACCAGGTTTGCATGTCATTGAAAGATGTAGTAAACATACACCTCCCTCTCCAAAACAGACATGTTAAATTTTCCCCTCAACTGTACTCCAATAATTATACTTACAGGATTTAACGAGTTGGAGAGCCAACATAAAAGAGACCAATTTCCAAGCTGCCTTTTGCGAAACCATTCAAATGATAATGAGTTTAATTTCCATGAAAATGAACATGCGATTAAAACTCATTTTCAAATGAAAGGTTGTGAACCTGGACTCGTTTTGAAACAGAGGCAAAAGGAACTAGGAAATTACCTATCAGCAGTAGTTTTCTGCTTACTGGAGGTCATATAAAGTAAATGTATCTAACTTACCAACATTGAGTTTTTCCTTTAAAGGAAATCTTCGCATCAAGTGTTCTCTCTACAGAAAACAATATACAAAGGTAAAGGTAAAAACTGGTCCAGTTCTAGGAATTGCAGGTGGCTGCACTGTGTTCATCAATGCTGACGTTAACTATAGTTTCCATACTGATAGTACTAGCCATTAGAAAATAATATACATGGCAGTACAGTTGAACCTCCACAAACGGGCACCTCTCTACACCAGCCTGGATTTTTTGTCCACACTGTGCGCCGATTTATACACTTTATTCTGACATATTGAAACCTCCCTACAATGGCCACAGTTCTCTCCTCTCTACAATGGTCAATAATTCTGCCCCAAAGTGGCCATTGTAGGAAGGTTGAACTGTACTACAAACATTGTATAGGATATAGTATGATTACAGGTCACAACCCAACCCCTCCCCCGCCCCTTCCACTCCCCACATCTCCCCTCACAGAAGAAAAGCTCAGTCAGTCATTTTCGTATTTAAGAACCTATTTCACCCCATTCATGAGAATAGACCAGGTTTTGGTGGCCCACCTTGAGTTAACATGGTTTCACAGAGTGTATAAAAATGTAATAATAATATCATTATTTTTAATTATATTATAAAGACAAGACTTTTTTCTGGTAAAAATTAAATGTTTTACCTTTTGTCCAAAAAACACCAGTCACTGAAATATTTTTTAATGCTGATGGCACAAACTGGTTCTTTGGCAGCTTGTGTCTCTGTGAACAACACCAAACAAATAAAACGAAGACTTATTTTTTAAATTATATTTTATATTGAATTGGGGACAACATAGGCCAAGGGGCTTAATGGTTAACGCGTTGGACTCTGCATCGAGAGGTACAGGCTTGAGCGCTGGCCTGGGTCACTGCGTTGTGTTCTTGGGCAAGACATTTTGCTCTCACAGTGCCTCTCTCCACCCAGGAGTAAATGGGTACCAGCAAATTGTCAGGACAACCTAACAAAAATGCTAAGGGGTTACCTGCGATGGAATACTCTAGCATCCCATCCAGGGGAGTAGCAAAACTTCTAGTCACTTCATGCTATGGAAACTGGAGTCAAGCGCCAGCTTGATAAGCCACTAGGCTTGTAGACAGACTTTAAACCCATTTTCTTAATGTACTTCACATACCACTGGCCTGTCAGACAATGCTGAATCTTTAAAAAACTGCTCCACTTGTGCACGCTCTGGCAGCTGTCAACAAAAATAAGAAAACTCAAAACTGAACGATGCAATATGTGAGCTACACTATCACATCTACCACCGTATGTATAGCTTGATTACTTTCACTTCCAAGCAATTCTCCTTATGGATTATCATTCATCTCTTTTATTAATATTGCTGTGCGCCACGTTTTTTTTCCCCCTAGGTGCATTTAACACATTCAAAATGGCAGCTCAAATGAGTAAAATAAGATTTTTTTAATAAGATGTTTTGTTTTCATATACATGTACTATTGAGTATATTATGACCATTATTATACGACATAGCATTTTAGAGTGAGGATACGCACCAAAACGAGTGCAAATATGAGACCGTATTAGTCCCACTGACCGTGCACTACTGAAAACTCTGTTGAAAGCCTATATTTTTGGAAAGATATTATGTCGTATAATAAACAATTTATTCAGCAGAAAGTTGTGTAATACGGCTGGGCATTTTTACTTGTCAATGTTTATTTTTTCTCGCCTAAAGACTCGAAAAAATAAAACTGACTCGTAAAAATACCCAGCCGTATTACACAACTTTCCGCTGAATAACCTCTTTATATTGACTTATTGTGAGGTTCTCTGAGGTGCATATTTCTAGTATATTGTGCAGGAAATATCCATACCCATCCCAAGGAAATTCGAGGGGGAGGGAGCCTCAAGGCCAAAATTTTTAAAGGAAAGTATGAAACCAAACTGGAATTCCAGAGAGGGGGGGCAAACTGGAATTCCAGGGGGGGGGGGGGGGGGGGGGGGGGGGAAGGGGGTTCAAACCTTCCGTGGGAGGTATACATGGATATCTTCTGGAACCACACAGGTACAAAAAACTCACAGGTTATAACACGCCCATCTAGCATCCAAACCAAAGGAAGGCTATCAATAACGTGCATTCTATCTGTAACCACAAGAAATAAGAGAGATAAGTCATGTAAACTGTTCGACCATGCAGGCTCTTGAAACATAGAGATCTATGAGACGGTTGAAAGCTGAACATTTTAACTATAGTAAGTCATTGATCCTATCATACAGATTCTGAATTTTACTGAATTTTAATATTTTTTCCATTTTTGGAGATTTTCTGACATTCTTGATTGAAAAGTCTCAAAATCCAAGATGGCAGATCCAAGACGGCAGATTTTTGGCAAAGTATGATGTCATTTTTGACAATTACGATGCCATACTTGACAGTGACATGACTGTCACTAAAATAAACACACCGTTTAAGTGAATACTTTGGAAAAATATAGCCAAGCCCACCAACACCTAAAACTCCCAGCAACATCATCCTTATTAATGTAATCCACCCTTAAATTATCAAAAACAAACACTTACAATAAGCATCCATCTCCAGTTTGTGGTTGCCATGGAGACAGAGGTCCAGGATGTGAACGTGTCTTATCTTTTGTAACTCATTCCAATCAAGATCATTGTTAGCGAGAATCAGTGTTCCAAAAGCCGCAACTGAAAACAAACCCTCCAAGCTCCTTACCTTTAGAAGAAATTAATCACAAGTAACATTTTAACTAAAGATATTTGTGT